CTCTGGAGTGACATTGTTGAAAGCCCTATCGATATCGAAGAAGGCCCCTGTTGCATAATTTTAATGCGTGAAGGCTTCCTCTGACCACTTTACCAATGTGGGTAGGGCGGTATTCACCGCCCTTTTCTTGCAATAAGCATATTGAGTTCTTGAAAGACAGTCACGAAGCATCGAATTTCTTATGTACAGGTCTATCAGTCTCTGTAGCGTTTTTAGCAAAAGCGTTTTCAGAAAAATCGAAGAGACTGAAAGGCCTAAAATTCCTAAGGGAAACATGAGAGCCTTTTTCGGCCTTCGGGATGAACGCAACACTGCTTATCCCCCCAAGTCTTTGGATGTACCCGATTCTCATGCAGTTCGTATAAATAGGATCCAACCAATTGCACGACACCTTCATAGCCCTTTGCTGCTGCGCAGGTATGATGCCATCGATCCCCGGCGACTTTAATGGTTTGAACGAATTTATTGCCCAGGCCATGTGACGATCGTCAAGAAGATCGGAGAAGTACAGCACCTGCAGAGAGATTTTGTAACCAGTTAGCGACAATTTTCGAATTGCTATCGCACTTTTTGACGTAAAAACATTTATATCATGCGTCAAAAAGTGCGTTAGCGATCCGAAAATTGTCGCAAACTGGTTACAGAATCTCCCTGCTGAAGTACAAAATATCGCAAAGAAGTACATTTGACTGTACTTCGAAGTACGAAGTACAAGAGCGATAAAAGAAGTACTGTACTTCCGAAAGAAGTACGGTTGGTCACATTATGCAACGTACTTACAAATTATTCTATAAACAAAACTAGATAGATTTTGAAATGGAAACATTTTTGGTGATCCCTTAAGAAGCTAAAATCTTAATTAATTTTAGAACGTTTTACAACTAGCAGCGATACCGAATTATTAGTTGTGATGTTATTCAACCATTTGCTACTTACACATCACCAATGTAAATACCGGGGTACACCTCATCACAGTCAACATCATATACGGCGCATTCTGTTCCCCGCAGTCCAGGAAGACTTCTGTATGGTGCTATTGAATAATGGAGAACTCTTTGCAGTTGACGACCGGTAGTTTGATCCGAGCTGGATGGTTCCAATCGACTAGGAAGCTATTAAGTAAATGGAAAATGTTAGAACTTTTATTGACATTACCTGTATTTATTTAGTAAGGATATGAACTTTGTACGATTTTTGTGTAACTTTATCTCGTAGAGAATACATGTCTTCCCCTTAGTGGGAAATTTTTTTTCGAAGATATCTCAAGATAACTTTCAGGGAGTTTTTCGAAAAATTATCCTTTTAGGTGTAGGATTAAAATGTCCCTACATTAGCTTTACAAATATGATGCAGCAAAAAGGACTTAGGGCTTTTGCTACTGATGCCAAAAAGTTTCACTGGGTTAACCCCGATACCAAGCCTTGGCTTTCTTATTGTAAAGACTTTACTGATGACTCAAAACCTGACGCAGGGGCAGGACCTGTAGTCTATATCGAAAGTAACGGAAACTATTTTTACTTCTCCTCAAGACCATGGACTACGTTGTGGAAAATAAGTGGAGGAGTAAGAACCAAGCTGTATTTAAGGCTTTGGTCAGTCCTCTAGTCCGGAAATGCAAGCCGCGGTTGGATTTGGTTGGAAAACATAATCCACTTGTTTTACTCTGGTTGCCAGGTCACTCGTGAGTACCAGGTAATGAGACATTAACCACTTCGTTAGAGAAGGTTCAGACCAGGCGTTCCTTGGTTATAGCACTCCCACCGTCAGAAACCTGCTGACTATTTCGTTGACAAATGCCTGTCAGTAGTAGGGATGAAATACAAGTACATACTAGATCATTTTCGTTCGATACCAAGTAATTTTGGTATCGATACTTTTGAACCAAGTACGGAGTAGATAACGAAGAAAGTACTCGTATCGAAACCCAATACCAAGGCAAATTTACTTTCGAAATTTTTTCCTAAATAATATAACTCGCCCAGTGCTTTATGGCTTTTTAAACTCTAAATATTTAAGATGTTAATTTTTTTACTCAAAACAGTATGAAATTAAATTTTTAACAGATATTTTTGCTGTTCTTGCATCAGGGAATATATTTCCTTGGTCGCAAAAACCAAAAGATCCATTTAATTTGTTTTAACGTTTATTGCCGTCGGTCGCTGTGATGTAGTGGTAAGCAGTGCGCGCTTCCACTCCGCAGCACCTGGGTTCAAACCCTGGTCGAAGCAACATAGCAAAAAATATAGTAAAAAGGTTTTTTTCTTAACAGCGTAGGTCCCTCCGCTTTGTGTGACAACATCAAGGCGCACGCCACAAGTCGGAGGAGAAGCTCGGCCAATCACTAACATACATATGTGTAAGCGCCAATCTATTATTATTAGCCGTGTTTTATTTGTCTTGAAATTTAAGCTATTAGCTTATTTTGTATGGAGGACTTACCCAACATAATTATGTTGGCTCATAAAAAGCTATCTTGGCTTGTATATTAAACAAGAGGCATTGCCATTCAGCATCAGATATTTTCTCCTTCAGCCAATCAGAAAGAGGCAAAAACTTACTTTGACACTATTTGCAGTCAAACAACTGTCAAAGTTAGGCTAACATAGAAAATAAGCTAATTTCGTTTTATTTGACCAAGACTTAGCTATTTTCTTGTGATGGTTGAATAAAACATGCCTATTATTAACGTTTATTGCACGCTGTTCTTAAGTCAAAAGGACAACAATGCAAAGATTTTTCTTTTGAAGGCTGGTCTTGACGTCAAGGTAATTTTCCATTTAATCATACATCAAATTTTTGGTTTTTTGTCTTTTTTTACATAAAAACAGCTTGTACTAAACTTAAAAAAAAAATAAATAAAAAAGGGGAAAAATTAAACCATCTATTTTTAAATGTCATTATATTAGTTATTTCGTTATCTCTTCTCGTTTGATTGTGCCCCTTTTTTCAAAAATAGAACACTGTGCGGCTTATTCACGGCCCAACGCACGGAGTAACTATATTATTCTTCGCGCTGAAAACAATATCGGACAATATTAAGGGTGGTGGAGACTAGCTCTGTTAATGAAAACTAGAAGCAAAGGAGAAAAGAATAGGCTACAAAATGTGGATGACAAAAAAAAAAAATATCTTAGAAAAAACTAAACTGTTCAACGTAGCGCACCCCAAAAAAGCGTTACTTCTTACTATAAGAGATATTTTCTCAACCTATAACCCAAGGTACAACATATCTGACCATGATAAAAAATCAAATTGAATATGGACACAGAGTGCTCAACTCATGGTTCTAGGGTTAAACGAGATTAACTTCTAAACTTTTTCAAGGTATTATCCCTGTTAAATACCATTCATTATTAAGCATATAGTTTTGCTGTGTTATGTTGTTGTTATTATTTTCAGTTTCAACATTATTCGGAGTTTAGAATTCGCCGAAGATGATTAATTTATTACTTAAAAAATTAAATTTAATCCAGTTTATACGGAATACCTTCATAGCCAAAAGTACCGATTCGAGTAGGTATCGATACTTTAGATCAAATTTTAATAAGCAAAAACAAAAGTGCATCTACATTTGCACCTTATTAAATATATCCTAGTGAAAAAATACAACGTTTTGTAAGTATTTTTGTTAGTTTGCTGGTGTATTTGAGCAATATTTAGAAGATCGCCAAATGATAAAAACTGATATGTAAAAAAAATGGCGTCCACGAGTATTTGACAGTTTTACCAGTTTTTACCCGAAAAGCGTTCCCGTACTTTTTGGTTTTTCTCTCTTTCTCTGAGAGCAATTTTGCTTTTTGACAGTTTTACAGGTTTTATCCAGAAAAGTTGAGGGACGGAACTTGTAATTAAACTGTATACCCAAAAGTATTACAAAAATCAGGGTTGGGCATTCTTGCACTGCCACTGAATTGCACTATTCAGTGATTGTTAAAATGCGGAATTCATTATCACTGAAAATGTCCAGTGATAATGAATTCTGCATTTTAATTACCCAATGCCCAACTCGGCTAAAAGTTCAGAAAAAAAGTTCACAATTCAGAATATAGCTTTAATCCTTGATTTCTATGATTTTGGTTTAGGCACTAACAATATTATTTTACAAAAAAAAACAGTAAAAAAATTTATTTGAAAAATATTGTGAACAGTATTGATTGCCAATGTGCTTGTAATATGTGTTTTTGTTTTTTTGACTGCCGCTACCACCTTGTATAAATTCGGGGTATGGAATTTAGACCGCGTGAATTATGGTCGCGCTCTTATTTGTTCGGCTAAAAAATTTCCCGCGCGGCCTAATTTCATTTTTTGATTGGCAAAATTAAATTATATGCATCAAATCACAAATAAATTTTACTTTTCATTTGGTCGACAAATCTAACCACAAAATAAAGAAAGGTGTTATCTGCAAAAGGTGTTCCACGTCCCTTTTCTTTGGCAACACAAAAAGGAAATTATACTTCGTGAGGGTTATAATCAGAGGTGGGCACTACCAAAAACAAGCGTTAGCCAGTAGAAATTTTAAGCATACAACATCGCTGTTGGTGGCATGAGCTTGCTGCTGTGTATACATGCCAGCATAAATGAACCTTCATTTCCATTTAACACGCGTGGTTTCTCAGAGCGTATGCGTACCTTAATCATACACTTGTACTAGTGCTGTATGCATATGGCTGTATTAATGTTTCAAATATACAAAAATGCATTAATGTAACAGTATTAAAGCATTCTTACAAGATCCCCATATGTAAATGCTACTTTTCTGATACATTTTAATATACGAGGACATACAAACAAGTAGGACTTACATATGCAAATGCATATCTTGTAAAAGCCCGTTTGTGCTGAAAATAGTATCGCACAACACGTCCGTTCACTAAAATTTTTGTACAAGACTGAAAATATTACAAAATACACAAAATATTAAACCAACGACAACGTACATTCGCTTGCAATTCGTTAGAATTTGAATTTATTCGTGGAAATTCATGACTATGCATGAATTGTTCACACTAATTCACTCATATTGCAAGCATCCTTCAAGAATGCATACAACCGATTTCTACTGGGTCATTTTGCATGCTGTCGCGTCTCATCGTTACGCTCTTGCTTGTATGCGTACACACGATGATTACGCTCTTTGAGCATGTGCTCGTTCTCTGCCCATGCCTGGTTATAATCCCTAAGCGCGGCCGCAGGCAGCCCACGCAGATAGGTGTTCTCTGCAAAAGCTGTTCAGCCCCCCACGCGGGATCCTTAGTCCAAGAATAAAAAAAAAATATGCGTACGCTTGGTATGCATCCAAGAATGATTGAATACAAGATTGCGCCAATCGAGCTGAGAGCAACTGGCCGTGACGTCAAAAAATACCAGAATGCGAGTGCAAGACGAACTCGACAAGAAAAAGAGGAAGCATCGAACAAAAGGCAGTATTGCCAAATTTTTAATTTGAAAAAGCACCAAATTTTTATTGGTATATTTTATGGACTTTATATACAAACATAATTTTATTGTAAGGATTCCGATTCAAATTAATAAAAATCAAGGTTTCTTGCACGACGGTCGATTTCTTCTGGCATGATTGAAGGTGCTGCCACATATTTTGTTGTCGCTTATGTCACTGTGCTATGATTTTGTTAAAATTTTTGTAAAGTTGCTTACCACACTTACGATTGCTATAAA